CACTTCTGTGTTCTCCCGTGACTGGGCAGCACTGTGATAGTGTTACAGTGTAGAGGTGGGGGGGGACTAGAGGGGGGGGGTCTGAGTTCAGTGAGTCACAGCTCGTCACTCGACGTAAACCAACCTGCGTTCCTGGAAATGTTGTTTGTTTGGGGCGTGAGGTGTGTGTGTGTGTGTGTGTGTGTGTTTGTGTGCGTCAGATTGAGGGGAGTGAGCTCGTGGTGCGGCAGGTCAGTGTGAGCGCTGTGGTGTATCTGGACGATGTCACGGTGACATTCTCCACCTCAGGATCTGTGTTTTCTCCAGGTTGGCTCTTTGTTTTCCCTGATCTGAGCTCCTGCCTGAAGGCCCTGTTTTCTCTCCTCTTCTCTCAGCTGAAGGAGACCGAGCTACAAAGCAGCAATAGACCAGTAACTGCTTTCTGGTCACTGTGACATGACAAGGTCTGCTGGGGTAACACACACACTTACTCACACACTCACTCCCCCCCCCCAGTGTAATGAGGTGGCTGTAATTTCATAGTCACGATGCCTCTGCTGGTGTGTTTGTCTAGGAGGCATGTGATCACGTGTTGACATCGTTACCAACGTCTGACGTCACATCTGTACGGATGTAGTTTTAGGTTTAACACGAGGCAAAAAAGTAAAAAAATGTAATGTTTTAATAATCTTAATGTTCTGAACAGTTGATAAAGTAAATACACACACACACACGGGTCACATGACTGCTGTTTGACAAACACAGCTGTGGTGACACTGACACCAACACTTGTTCACATCTTCAGCAGCAGCTGGTCTGAACAAAGAGCAGGGACTGGACCCAACAACCCTCTGTGGGTCACAGGGTCAGCCTCCTACACACCTTTAAAGTACTTCAAAGGTGTGTGAAGTACTACAGTAACAATATCAGAAGAATAAAAAGTGAAAGTGTGTGAAGACACGTTTGTTTCTGGACAAGTCAACAGAACCAGAACAGAGTTGGATCCACAGACCACAGACCACAGACAGAGACAGACAACCCAGGGTGTTGGCAGATGGCTGTGGTTCAGGGAACGGTCACACACACACACACACAGGTGCACACATACGCTCTTACTCACTCTGAGTCACAGAACCCCCCCCCACCCACCCCGTCTG